TATATATATATATATATATATATGATTTGATTGAGAACATTGGAAGTTCAATACACCGAAAATTGTAAACAATCTTTTGAAAAATTCATAAACAGTATTTTAGATTTATAAGAGATGTTCCAAAATTCGTGAATTAAAATATCAGCAGAAAATTCTTAAAAAAATAAATTACAGAGGTATTTACTACTTTTTTGTGTTCAGCAGTAGTTGAAGTATAAAGACTTGAAATTAGCCAATTAGATCAATTATGATTAAACAGTCGTCTGTGAATCGCATGTCTTTTAGGTCTGTTTTTTGCATATGAACTAGTATATTCTTAAAGTGACTGTGTTTAAAGTGACGTACTTAAGAATATCTTTGATATGACAAAAACGAAGAAAATTCTATAGTATAGTCCAAGTGCAACAATTGACTACATTTACACGGATCGATTTACGCCGAAGTTATAACATCGATGTTAGGAAACTGGTCAATCGCAGTCATTCCATTCTTCATAGGAATAGCTATGATTGGCCAATTTCATAACATCGATGTTATAACTTCGGCGTAAATTGAGCCGTGTACTTTTTGATAAGTTCCACTTTGTAAATGAAAACTATGATAAGCATTTGACGAAATATTATATATCGAATGTATACATTGTATATGTACAATATTATTATTTATTATGCATTTATTATTTATTATTTATTATTTATTATACATTTTAAAATTATTATTTGTATATACAATACATACAATGTTGAGCAGACGACTTTTTGAGTCATCAGCTTAATCAGCTATAATCAGCTATAATCAGCTTTAATGTGGGGGAAGTTGCTGTAAGTAATGGAACGCTGTAAGTAACGAAACAGTCGTTGTTTGTCGATCGTAAATACATCTTTCGCGAATGTAAATAAGTTTAATAAATGTGATAACCGATTGAAAAAGAGAGCAGAATTATTATATATCTGAGTAGAGGTAGTACGTGTATCACGTATCTGTGTTTAATTGTCATCGAATACAGTATTTGTGATTAATGGTATAGCTAAAAAAGATAATGACTTTTATTGCCTTGTCTTGATAGCGTTTGATGCAAACATTACATCATGTTTACACTTTGACAAAGCAAAATTGTCAAGTATTACTCAAATCGCGACATTTTTATTTCATAGTAACACCTCACGTTGCAATATATTTATGCGAATACCTACAGTGAGTGCAAAAAATATTCGTACAAAGAAAATATTTGTTAAAAAAACTTTATTTTTAAAAAATAAATATTATCCAGAGCGAGAAATGAGTCATTGAATTAATGTCGAATATCGATAGCGATACGATAATTTCATCATCAAACGTCGAGTCATGACGTTTAATTGACGATCATTTTTTGCTGGATAATTAATAATTTATTCATAAAAAATAAAATAGACTGTATGTTTCTTAACATTATATATACTAAAAAGATGTGTAATTAATTATAGAAAATATATCATCTGAAAAATAAGCAAAAATTAAAAATTCTATCGTTTGGATGCTCAAAAAGTATTCGTACAGTCGAGGAATTTAGCTTCTAAAATCAGGAATATATACGAAGCTCGTTTGTTTATGTTAGAATGTATTCATTTTATAAAATTGCTAATTAATGTTTATTTTCTACAAATAAGACTTTTTTTTATAAAAAATTTCCTTGTACGAATACTTTTTGCACTCACTGTATATCTAGTGCTGTAGGGTGTAGATATTGATACGAGTGTATATTACAGTGAATTAAAGGAGTATAACAGTATCAGTTGAAAATGGAAAAAAACTGTACAGAAAAACTGTATATGTACAATGGAGACGTAAATCACAACGAATTTCATGAAGATTTAAATAGCAATGAACTACAAGAAATACCATCAAGCACTCTTGTCTTTTATGTGAATGGAAAGGAGGTACGATCTATTAATATGATAAATTTATTTTTGCTTTAGAATACATTGACAAAAATTCTTCATATTTCTTAAAATTTCATACATTTTTTATAAAATTCTTCATATATATAATTTTTCAAAATTTCTACATAAATTTAACATTAATAAATTTTAAATGTCTTTTTCGAGTCAACACAGGATAAAAGTGTAAATAATTCTAATTTATTCTATGCAAACAATAGACATATGTTAGACAAAATATATGTATATTTCAATCCTCGGTTTGGATCTTTCTCAGTACATTTCAATTATTTTCTTTACACACAATAAAACGTAAATGCTACCGTTTTACAATTGCATTTACCATCATGTAGTTAAATTATTGACGATCAGAAAATATTAGAGTA